GTCACATGGCTACGAGATTCGTTCTCGAATTCTTTTTTGAAAGCTCCGTCATCAATGTACCAAAGCCAAAATCTGCTCACATTAGATGCAGTCGATCTCTTTTGAAACGATTGACACACAAAAAACCCTTGTTTATTTCCATCGTTTTCCATAAAGATGATTTCCAGCCATATCAGATGACTTTTATTTGATACATTGATCAATGCGCTTTATTTCAACAAGAAAAGAAAAGAGAAAGTGGAAAGGTTGTCAACAAGCGTCGCATAAACAGCATATCTCTTCCAACGCGCAACAGGCGAGAAGACCGCAACAGAATCCAGCTCCAGCTCCAGCTCCACCGCCTCCGCCGCCGTACGGCCGTTGTTGCTGCTGCTGGTAGCGCGGCTGCGTATCGTATACGACGTATTGCTGTGGCGGCTGAGGCTGCTGCGGTTGTCCATAGTATTGGCCGCCATAGTAGTTTCCTTGAGGAGGCGGCGGCTGGCTGTATCCGTTGCCGTAGTAGCCGCTGTTGTTGTTGTTATAACCCATGTTTACAGAGAGACAAAGTATTTATATAAAGAACAAAAAAGCTGTCTATAAGGGAAAAAAGCATTCGAATCTGAGTGAACCTAAACAAAAGAAAGAAAGAAAGGAACAAGTCATCGAAGAATGCGCAGTGCGCCCTTATAGCGAAAAAAAAAAAAACGAGGGAGGAGGTGCGGAGGAGCCAAGAATAAAACAAAAGGGCCAAGGCCACCTGCCCACAAATTGGGGGAGGAAGCCTTCCTCCCCTATTGTTTCCGGAGAGCCAATCACGGCGTTCCCCGCAGGCTCCTCCTCTGTGGGATTCCAGTTTTTTTTTTGTTCTTTCAGCAGCAAATATCCAAGCAGCAAATGGTCGCGACAAGCCCCACAAGGCAGTCCAAGCAGTTGCACGCTCCACCCACTACTGGGCGGCAAATGCCGGGTCCGACACCGCGGTATCTGTGGTAGCGGTAGTGTCTTCTGGTGCCGGGCGCAACTCTTCTGGTACCAAACATTTTGGACTGCGATACTAGCGACGATGGACGAAGTGGATATGGATGGTGCACAAAGGTGCTAATATAGGTCAAAGGATACGATTGTTTTACTATAAAGTTATTTCAGCCGAAAGCTAGGATGAAAAAGAATGATTGAAAGTAGAAAAGAAAGAAAGAAAGTAGTGCTTCCTCCGCCGCGCTCAGCACGGGCAGCAGCATTCTATACATTCAAATGCACACAGCCCACAGCAAAGCCCTTCCAAGAACGATCCTCCACCCTTGACCCTCAGTGGCTCGTGCTGGTTGTTGTTGTTGTTGTTGTTGTTGGCGGCGTATCCACTTGTGTAATCTGGCGTCTGAGGTAAACCACCACCACCCTGCTGCTGTGCAACAACAGCCTGCTGTGGCATCTGCAGTTCGACGTTACTGTTTGTCATGCTTGAAGAAAGAAACGAGTAGTCTGGTTGTAAGGATGGGAGACAACAAATAAAACCTTTTCTTACGAAACAAATAGAGTAAAGAAAAGAAGATACTGCATGAACGTCTGGAACAGCTGGGAAAGTCTTTTTATTCATGCGGGCACCTCAGCCAACCACATGAACGGACTTTGCCAAAGCCGAATGGACAAGAAAAAACAATGCAGTCACTTTTAGCTCAGTGTCCCTTCCCCTTACCCCGTGTTTTTCACACTATAACGTCATAGATGGCTGCGGGACCCAATGGAAATCACAGCCCTCATTCAATGAGGTTTGCGCGTGGCTCTATTTTTGGATCTTGCAGATGCTGCAGATGTGGAAGATATTTCCGTCCGCAAAAGAGGAAGCGCAATTTGCATGTGGGAATCATTTAGTTGCCTTTATAATAGGAAACGTTACGTTCGTTATGTTCGCGAGGCGACGATGCTTGCAGATTTCCATGAGCAAAAAGTTCTCACATATTGTTTTTTTTCCCAAAAGAAAGTACCGCATGTTAAAGTATCTGAAATGTCAAGCAATCAAATGACCAAGCCAGCCCTCCTTGCATTGCGCAAGGCTTGGACAGAGCGGGCGAAATATCCCACATTTAGATTCAGGCAGAATATTTTACCCAATCCTGCGCAGAAGCATTCCCCCGCTCCTTGGTTCCATTCATCTGAACCACCTGTTGCAATGCCGGCTCCAATATCCACGCTACCAATTAGCCAATTTTCTTCATCCAAGTGCCCCGAGTCCATTAAGGTCCTTACAAAGGAATCATGCTAAAAAATGTAATCGGTATATAATGTTTGTGACGTTTGCGTATTCCTGCTATACTATAGATAACCTATAAATTTGAAGAGTAGAAATGTACATGGCCTAAACACGCCTGCAGTGTTAGTAAAAAAAAATCCGGCACAGCAGCTTAGCACAGGTATATTTGGATAACCTTAAGAAAACAAATTAAAATAAGAAGCCTTGCCGTGGGGATCTGAGGGAGCCTCTAAAGTTATGAGGCTGCATTGTCGTTTAGGTGGATGAGAGGAAGGGAGGAATAGCATAAGGGGCTATTGGCGGTGTCAAATCCCGATTGACCCAAATGGTAGTAGGTGAAGAAGTAGTTGAGGTGAGGCAGCTGTCAGCAATAGGAGGGTTGCAGAATTAAAGACGTCCTGCTGAGCTTGACCCTGCCTGGCTCAAAATGGAACCACTGCTTAGACCACCTTCAGCCACAGCGATCGTAAAAGAGTTGGGTCGCCTTTTCCCAAGTAAAGAAGGCCTTGATGTTGTTTTTCGACAGATGAAGGAGCTGCTGAAAAGCATCACGAATAGAAATAATGTTACAAAGCAACAAAGTAGAATTTAAAATAATAAATAAATAAATACATGTGTACAAGTAAACAAGTAAACGTAGAGAGCAGTAATGAATGCAACAGCGATGAATAATAAATAGCAAAATACCTCGCCAGCTGAACGACGATGCAATGGCATACAGTTGTCCTGTTTGCTTACGTCAACACAAGCACCACATTGCATGTTTATTAACGCATGGGCAATTATTCTACTATTTATTCGATCCGCAGGTTCTCCGCGAGATATCGACGACAATTGTTAGGAGGGACGAACACAGCATCGGCTAGATCATTCTCCCTGCACACAGACATTGTATATATTCATTTTCGTAGATTGTATTATTTTTTATTTCTTCCTGCGTATCCTCCCCGCCTCTTGATTAATCACCTCCATTCTATTTGGACTTGGCAGCTGCAGCTGCCATTGGGGCAGAAAGCGAGAAAAGGACGGGGAGGAAAAGCAGGCAAATGCCCAAATTACTTTCGAACTTGTAAAAAAAAACACTATAAATCTCTTCCGCCGTACTCAGCACGGGCAGCAGCATTCGACACATTCAAAAGTGCATAGCCCGCAGCAAAGCGCATCCAAGAACGATCCTCCACCTTTGACTCTCAGAGGCTCCTCCTGTTGATTGTTGTTGGCGGCGTATCCACTTGTGTAATCCGGCGTCTGGGGCAAACCACTCTTCTGCTGTGCAACAATAGCCTGTAGTGGCACCTGTGGTTCGACGTTGCAGTTTGTCATGCTTGAAGAAAGAAACTAGTAGTAGTAGTAGTAGTAGTAGTCTGGTTATTGAGACGGGAAACAACAAATAAAACCTTCTCTTAAGAAACAAATAGTGAAGAAAAGAAGATACTGCATGAACGATCTAGAACATCTCGAAAAGGGCTTTTTAACCATGCGGCAAGTCGGGCCAACCAAGGAATAAAAACAATGTGGTCACTTTTGGCTCATTGCTCTCTCTTACCCCGTGTTTTCTTTTTCGTCACACTGCGTAATATGTTATGTAATGGCTGACTGTAGGTAGGGTCCAATGGAAATTACAGCCCTCATTCAATGAGGTTTGCGCGTGGCTCTATTTTTGGAGCTTACGGATATGCAGGTGCAAAGATATTTCGTCAGTAAAAGAGGGAGCGCAATTTGCATGTGGGCGTCTTTAATTGCTTTTGGTAAAGCAATCGTTACGTTAGCAAGACTATGCTTGCAGATTAACATTAGCAAAAAAAGTTCACGCGCATTACGTCGCTTAACGAAAAAATGCCATGTGTTGAAGAATCCGAAATGTAAAGCAATCAAATGACCAAGCCGCTTCACAATGCATAAAGCTCGGACAGAGAGGGTGAAATATTGCAAATTTTCATTCAGGCAAGAATCCTTTGGAACCAACATATCGCAACAGGTTTAGGCAGTAGAAAATGAAGAGGTGGGAGCTTCTGCGCAGCCTTGAGCAATGTTCACATCACCACAGCCTTTTTTACATCTGGATGTCCCAAGTCTGTTACGATACCCACAAAGGAAGCATGCTAAAAAAATAGAAAGAGGCGGCGTTTGTGACATTTGCTTATGCCTGCTACAGATAACCTATGGATATGAAGAGTAGAAACGCTTGTAACATAGACACATATGCATCGCTAATAAAAATTTTTTTGGCGCAACAACTTGGCGCAAGTATATTTGGATAATCATAACAAAGCAATTAAAATAAAATAGCCTTGCCATGGAAATCTGTGGGGGTCTCTAAAGTTATAAGGCCGCAATGCCGTTTAGGCGGATGGGAGGAAAGGGCAGCGTTAATAAAAAATATTTTATATTTTATATTTTTTTTTTTTGGTTGGCGCAACGTCTTAGCGCAGGTATATTTGGATAACCCTAACAAAACAACTAAAATAAAATAATCTTGCCATGGAAATCTGGGGAGTCCTAAAGTTTTAAGACTGCAATGCCGTTTAGGCGGATGGGGGGAATGGAGGAATGGCGGAGGGACTATCAGTGGTGTCAAATCCCGATTGACCCGAAATGGAATGAATGAAGTAGTTTAGGCGGTTGTCAGTAATGGGCGAGTTGCAGAATGAAAGAGTCCCGCTGAGCTCGCCAGCGATAATAAAAATTTTGTATTCACATAAAGGAAGGCAACGGAGGCTGATATTTTTATAACTACCTTTCCAGGAAAAGCTATTTCGGCTTGAAAGTAGGACAGATGGCCGAGTGGTTAAGGCGTTGCGTTTAGGCCGCAATCTCTTCGGAGGCGTGGGTTCGAGTCCCACTCTGTTCATCATTTTTGCATCTTTTCTCCAAGTGGGGCGGGGGAAGGGGGACAGGGCAGGGGCGTAAATGACTGACACCGCTAGATATTTTGTTCCCATCTGGAAAAGGTTTTTTATTTGAATGTCTTTGGAGGTGTGGGTTCGAACCCCACACGCTTTCCTTTTGTTGCTAAAAGCTGCGTTCGTGGGATGCTGCAAAGCATTTTTCTCTTCTGGTTTATTATCTTTTTTATTTCCATTTGAGAATGTTTTTTTTTGCTTCGGGGGACACCACATGACTAACGAGTCCCGATAAACTTCCATTTATGAATATAAAGCACAGACCATGACGTCCTCCCTATTGCTGTGGGAAAAATTATTCAAGCGCTTTGATGGCCAAGTATGTAAGCAAGCGGAATTCAAAGCACGGAAATCGCTCCACCATTTTTGGTCAGAATATGATAGCATTACAAAACGGGAAATTCCAAACAAGCAAACCAACAAAAAAATGACAAGTCTATCCGCCCTTGGAGTCTTGGATCAGCGACTTTATTGCGTCAATGCTTCCCCACACACAAGCAACGCCGCTGATGGCTAGCACAACAAACATCCAAATCTTCTCGTACCATGGGGCCACGCGATGCCCATAGAGCCTCAAATAACAGGCAATTGGGACAATCGCATAAAGTGCGACGCATGCCAGCGAGCTGATCAAGCTCAAAAAGTCCGAAAAGTAGGGGATGGCAATCGAAATTCCGCACACAGCGGCAACCACCACAGAGCGATAGGCTAGACGGATAACGAATTCACGCTTCTTGCCCAACCGCTCGGGCGTAATGTTAAATTGCTTCTCGATTTCGAGGTAAAAGCTTAGCAGCAGAATTGGCGCGGCGATGATTACGTGAAGGGTAATCATGATTTTGGCGACAGTTGCTGGAGCCCCAGTCGGGATCGAATCAAGGACGGGCGAGACTACTTGGTCGCCGTATGCCCAGTATCCGGTGATTCCAATAAGAAGGTACGCAGCTGCAGAGAAAATCATTGAGGCAAGAACGACCATGGGCCACTGGCGGGGCTTCTTCATCGCTGCCTCCACATGTGGGTACACGACTGTTCCTGAAAAGCTAAAGACGATAGACGAAAGCGCGACTGGAATTCCAATACCAATGGCGGCACTGTGACTGGGCGCAGGCTCGGATGGATGCATTTTGGTGTATGGATCTTTCAGCGACATGACGGTGGAGATGATTATGACGACTACAGAAGCAACCAGACCAAAGATGGCCATAAACGCAGCCTCGGACATCTGCTTTAGTATGGCAACGGGGATCCACATAACGACAGCGACGATAACCATCCAAATCTTCTCACTCAACCCAACGCCCAGCGTGACAACGAGACCGTGGATAAACTGGCCTGCCAGGATAATATACAAACACGTGGTACCAAGAGAATACAGAGAGACAAAGAACTGCGAAGCGTACTGGCCCCACGGGCCAAAGGCAGCACGTCCGATCTGAGGAAACGAATGAAGACGCTTGCCAGGCTGGTAATAGAGACAGCGGATGGTAAGTGCGCCAGTGTATGAACCAATCAGTGCCGATAGAACAATGATGATGATGCCGATCCACCCGGTCTTTGCAAACGCATATGGAATCTGTAGACATCCGGTGCCAATAATGATGCAGACGATGCTGGAGAACGAACGGATGAACCCAGCGGTGCGCGGCACATGATGCTCATCGTTCTCAAAGTCGCCGATTTCTTGATTCGAGTCGTTCTCAGAAGTCATCTCCTTTATCGGTATCCCCTTCTTGAAAGACGATGTTTCGTAGAAATCGGTAGTAACATTGTTGTTGGCTGGAGCAATCGAGTCGCTGCATGGGCTGGCATCGTAGGCTCTGCTGTCGGTTCTAGTCGGGCGTTTGAACACGCGACGAGCAAAATTAGTTGCAGACTGCATGTCTATCTCTCGGGTGTGAAAGAAAGAAAAATATGGTAAAGTAAAGGAACCAAGAAAAAGAAAGGACAAGGAGGAGCAGAATGAGAACTGATCAAGGAAAGCGAGTGGATGGGAGGAATCTATCTTTTTAACGAATAGATTATGCCAGCAAAACCGTCTTCCCCTTTCCAGAGTGTGGAAATGAGGAACGAGACTGTCATTCGGTCATTGCAATGGAGCCCACTGGCCTTCATTTTTGCCCATTCGCTAGCTGTTGGCAAATAGAAAACCTTTAGTGCATATGCTCTTGTTTTCATAACAGAAACTACCGAATATAGAAACCCCCCGGAACGCTGCTAAAATAGAAGCGGATCATTGCCCCTCAAAAGGAAATAAACTAATATGCACCTTGTGTAATAGGTTTAATATAGATAGCAACTACGAATAACACGTGTTTATTTCAAAGTTGATACGACCATTCGATGCAAAGGGCAATAATGTTATACAAAGAAGATGGTTTCTAAACAAATGGGAAATCTATCCGCTCTTGGAGTCTTGGATCAGCGACTTTATTGCGTCAATGCTTCCCCACACACAAGCAACGCCGCTGATGGCTAGCACGACAAACATCCAAATCTTTTCGTACCATGGAGCCACGCGATGCCCATAGAGCTTCAAATAACAGGCGATCGGGATGATGGCAAAAATGGCAACGCATGCCAGCGAACTGATAAGACTCAGAAAGTCCGAAAAGTAGGGGATGGCAACCGAGATTCCGCACACGGCGACAAACACTGCAGAGCGGTAGGCCAGACGGATAACGAATTCGCGTGTCTTGCCCAGCCGCTCAGGCGTAATATTCAGCAGCTTTTCTACTTCTAGATAGAAAGTCAGCATAAGGATGGGTGCAGCAATGATTACATGGATTGTGATCATGATTTTGGCGACAGTCGCTGGAGCCCCAGTCGGGATCGAATCAAGGATGGGCGAGACTACTTGGTCGCCGTATGCCCAGTATCCGGTGATTCCAATAAGAAGGTACGCAGCTGCAGAGAAAAGCATCGATGCAAGAGCGACCATGGGCCACTGGCGGGGCTTCTTCATCGCTGCCTCCACATGTGGGTATACGGCAGTTACAGAGAAGCTAAAGACGATAGACGAAAGTGCAACCGGGATGCCGCTACCAATGGCTGTACTGTGACTGGGCGCAGGCTCGGATGGATGCATTTTGGTGTATGGATCTTTTAGCGACATGACGGTGGAGATGATTATGACGACTACAGAAGCAACCAGACCAAAGATGGCCATAAACGCGGCTTCGGACATCTGCTTCAGTATGGCAACGGGAATCCACATAACGACAGCGACGATAACCATCCAAACCTTCTCACTCAACCCAACACCCAGCGTGACAACTAGACCGTGGATGAACTGGCCTGCCAGAATAATATACACGCATGTGATGCCGAGCGAATACAGAGAGATGAAGAACTGCGAAGCGTACTGGCCCCACGGGCCAAAGGCAGCACGCCCAAGTTGGGGGAACGAATGAAGACGCTTGCCAGGCTGGTAATAGAGGCAGCGGATTGTGAGAATGCCCGTGTATGAGCCTATTAGTGCTGATAGAACAATGATGATGATGCCGATCCACCCGGTCTTTGCAAACGCATATGGAATTTGCAGGCATCCGGTGCCAATGACGATGCAGACGATGCTGGAGAACGAACGAACAAAGCCAGCGGTGCGTGGTATATGCGCCTCGTCGTTCCCAAAGTCGCCTATTTCTTGATTCGATTCGTTCTCAGAAGTCGTTTCCTTTATTGGTATCCCCTTCTTTGTTGACGCGATTTCATATATATCGCTTGACATGTAGTTTGCTCGAGCGATCGAGTCGCTGTCGGGGCTGACCGGGCGATTGAACGCGCGACGAGCAAAATTAGTTGCAGAATGCATCTCTCCCTATCTCTCCGATGTATGAGAAAAAAGAAAGAAAAGAAAGAAAACCAAGCTAGATGAATTGGAAGAAACTAAAAAAGAAAAACAATCCAAAAGTCCTCCCTCCCACCTTTTCCTTTTATAAAAATCTGGCTGCCAAAAGCTTGGGCGTCCCGTCCAAGAATAAAACGATCCAGTCAACTTTTTCAACAAGAAAAGGGGATGAGCAACAATATTGTTTCTCGACAAACAACCGAAAGTTGCTCTTCACTAACTGTTATTAAAAAGCTAGAAAGAATAAAAAACATTAATGACATATGCCAATGCATTTAGCAATAAACGATTCTCGAATATGGAAAGCCCGAGGCTAGAGACTAAAACGGAAATAATAAAAAGCGGAGCGTATTCACCAAATCTAGAAATAAACTAATACGCAATGACGTAAAGCAGCCTTCAATTCCTGTAGCACATAAACCATAAAAGGACAAAAATAATATTACAAAACAAGAAGAAAAAGGTTTAAAAAGAAAAATCTAACCGCTCTTGGTATCTTTGATCAACGATTTAATGGCGTCGATGCTTCCCCAGATGCACGCAACAGCGCCAATAGCCAATACAACAAACATCCAGATCTTTTCGTACCACGGAGCCACGCGATGACCATATAGTTTCAGGTAGCAGACAACCGGGATGATGGCAAACATGGCAACGCATGCCAGAGAGCTGATCAAGCTCAGAAAGTCCGAAAAGTAAGGGATTGCAAGCGAAATACCGCACACAACGGCAACAACCACGGAGCGATAGATCAAGCGAATCGTGAACTCGCGCTTCTTGCCCAGGCGCTCCGCAGTGATATCCCATTGCTTTTCGATTTCTAAATAGAAGCTCAGCAGCATGATTGGCGCAGCAATGATTACGTGAAGGGTGATCATGATTTTGGCAACAGTCGCTGGCGCACCCGTAGGAATCGAGTCAAGGACGGGCGAGACTACAAGGTCGCCGTAAGCCCAGTATCCGGTGACGCCGATAAGCAGGTACGCGGCGGCGCAAAAGGTCATTGACGCAAACACAACGGTCGGCCACTGGCGGGGCTTCTTCATCGACGCTTCTACGTGCGGATACACGACGGATCCGGCAAAGCTAAAGACAATA